GGCTGCGCAGCACCGAGCCTGCGCCGCCCCGCGGTGCGGGGGAAACATGGCCGGGCCGACGGGGCCCGGGGCTCGGAGGCCCGACCCGACCCTGAGGGGGAAGGGCAGCCCCTCGTGCCCCGCAAGGACGAGAAAAAACCTCCAGAAGATGCGGAGAGACCGACGAGACGGCATGCATTAAAATCAGCCCCTGCCCGTTCCCGGCCAGGTGCTCCCAGGCAAAGCTCGGGCCTTACACACCTCCGCCTCTTGAATCCGATTTACGCGTTTGCTTTCCTGCCACGCACCGTGATCAGTAACTGAGACCCGCGGGCGTCGCGTGTCCTGGGAAACCTCCCAGGACGGGGTCGGAGTTGGCAACCCTAGCCCGAAGGGGCCCGCTACGGGCGCGCTGGGCCAGGGGGACGCTGGTGCTGCACAGAGGTGCGTGGCCTGGTTTGGAGGAGTTTGGGGCCTGCTCCTCCCAACACCTTCTCCTCCCCCCAGCTTCCCTCTCTCTCCTCTGGAGGAGGGACAGGTCGGATGCCTGCAGACAGGAGCAGCTTGGGCGCGGCGCCGTAGGATGCTTGTGTTGTGCACCGCGATTTGCTCCAGCGCTCTGCACGGACAATTGTTCTGCAGTCACGGGCCCAGAGCGGTGCTGCCAGCTCCTCCACTGCCTGCGTTTCTCCAGTCCCGAGCACCGCTCTCCCCCCGCTTGCCTTTGAGCTGGAGTCTGAGCACCGCCTCTCAGAGCAGGACTAGGACAAGTCAGGCTTTGCAGGCCTGGTCCTGCAACCCCACGAGTCAGCAAGGAGAAGTCAAGCGGGGTAATGGTTCCCTTGCACAAAAACTCTGTCTGATGCAGAGTCAGCTGCTTCCAGGGAAAATCACTCTATGCAAATAGTTTTCCTTAGAAATCTGTGAACATCTCTCCCTCAATGAAAGCTTTGTAAGCCACTCTCAGGGTTGCATCATTTACCAGCCTGTCGCCTCCTGTGATGGGTCAGGACTTACTGTTACACCCGTCGGAGAATCAGACTGGAAAGAATCGCGCCACGTGGACTTACAAACAGTTTGTGAATTTGTATGTGCTCAGGGGCTTCCATCCACACCCACAATGTGCAGCACAGCAGGATGGGGCGCAGACTGCAAAACCAGAAAAAAGTAACACATGGAGATGTACTGCCACAGAAATCAGTAACAGGCAGTCACCTTACCATGGCAGAGGCTCCCCTAAGCATTTTGGCCTTTAGGCCTCTTTAAGGCCTTGCCTGCTTCTGAGGATGTGTGTTTTCTCCTAGTCCTCCGCCCTTTCCCCCTGTGCTGAACTCTTCCCAGCGTGACACAGTACTTGAATGCAAGAGGGTATTTCCTTGCCTTCTGGTGAAGTCATCCCCTCCCTTTCTAATATGCTCCCCCCTAACAATCACTGCCGACCTGGAAATTGGTCTGTTTTTTTTTAAATGAGTCACACCCAAAATCATTGTTCTGCAGTGCTTTTACAACTTCAAAGGGCTGAGATGATGAACTTGCGAAACTGTTTGAGGAACTGGTGAAACTTTGCCAGACAAGACAGCTCAGGGCTTTAATTAAAGATCAAACGAGGCGCTAGTGGTTGAGGCATTTAAACTGGTGGTTGAGGACAAGGCAGGGCTCATTACAAGCAGCGCTTAAATGCAGGTTTCACAGCTTCGCTTGGTTTTCAGAGGTTTCTAAGTAACCCCTGAGGCCAAGGGGAACATGCATGCTCAGTACTTAGCAGGTCCCATCTACTGCTAGTCCTGCATCGCTCTACACAGTCTGGCTTGACTCCAAGGCTCTTCTTTCCTGTCTAAACAAGGAAGACCCCTGGAAGGCAACTTACCTGAGGCTGAACTTAGCTTTCCTCTGGTCAACTGACCTAGAACCCTTCCTGGTTCCAGAATGACTTTCTTGGCCCTTAAAGGGCCATCACAAATACCCTGCCTTGAGTGCCATCCACCCAACAATCACACCACCCAGCCAGTGCTTCAAAGGGATGCAAAAGCTGACCCTGAAATGAAACGGCCTGTATGCAGCTTTTATAAGACCTGCAGGGCCCTCGTGGTGCTGGTGTTTGAAAATTGGAATTGAACCAGTTTGTTTCTAAAATGCCAAGCAAACACATTTTCCACCTGTTACCATTTTGCTAATCTGTCATGATACTGGTAAGGTTTGGATTAAACCATGCTGGAACTGGGTGGTGCAGCCACCAGTTTTCGTTCACAGAGTGGTAAGACACAGCGGATCTCCTTTGTGGAGCCAGATAACTGAAACAAGAGCTCTCTCCCCTCGGACACAGGCATGTGCTATTGTCCAAGTCAGAGAGGTATGCGAGGCATCTCTGGGCAGAGGGTTTTTACTAGCTAACGTTTCTTTAAAATGGGGGGCGGGGGGGGAAGAAGAGAGAAAAGAAGCTCCCACCCTAATGCTTGTTCTGGCTGTACTGGGAACAAAGTCCTGAGAAGAAGGGACTTGGACTCGCTGTCAGGCTGCTGTTGTTTTCAGGGAAACAGGGTCTAGCATGCGTTCTCTGAACAAGCAGGACTGCATCAAAGAAATGCCCAGTTCCATCAGCAGCTTATTTTCTCACCTGCAGGACCCTAAACTTTGGGCCACCCAGCTCAAAAAAAGAGTGTCATCAAAATAAGGAGAGAAATTGTGGTTTGAAATGCACAAGAGCACTTGAACATAGTCCGCCATCACATCTGGGTTATGGAAACGATTCTAATTCTAACCTGAGAACAGTTCTAACATTTGGAAGTACTTTCTCAGGCAGTCGAGACAGACTTCTTCAAACTTGCATTGCTTCACGAAGCATTTCTACTGTGATGACTGCATTCAACTACGTGTTCACCGTTGCACCCATCCAGACTTTTAGGGTCTGATCCTGGCACTAATTCCATGCCGGGTGAGTCTCCTAAAGCTCAGTCCACAGGGGTACGTGTCTGCAGAGTAGTTTACAGAGTCTGTGGGTTGTTCTTGCCTTGAGGGACTTGCAACCTATCTCACACAGGTGACAATTCACCTGTTATTTGACTCACTTTCCAAGTGGCCAAATAAATAGTATATGGTTTATGCCATCCAAGGATCTCAAAGGATTGTGTGGAGGGGGACAGCAATCAGTCTCTTGTTGTAGATGGAGAAATGGAGGCAGAGCAATTAGAAACAAAGCAGACAAGAGCAGCCACTGATTTTGAGCACCTCCATTTTTCGGTGGCCAGCTTAAGAAACCTGAGCCAATTTTCAGAGCTGCTGTGTGTGTTCCAATGAAATAAATGGGGGCTATCCTACACTCCCAATGTTGGGCACAAAGAACAAACAAACAAACAAAAAAAACCCAGCATCTAAACAAGCATTTGGAGCAGGAGCAGCTTGCTCAGACTACCCAGCAAACTCCCAGAGAGTTGAGCAAAAGACCAAAGGATTTAGAAAAATATAGGATGCAAAAGAAAGATCTCCTTATGGCTAGAGACAAGCAGCGGATGGTGAAGGCGAAGATGAAGAAAGGAATGCATCCATGGGCTGTGTATGTAGGAGCCAGATGGATTTTTACTCCTGGCAAAAAATGCAGGGAAGTCTATACCCAGATGCATTTGATTGTTAATCACTTCCCCGCTGAGCCCTGCCATTGTGCTACATTGTGGTATAGTCTCTAGTTCAGGGAAATAATCCTATGCAATCTGCAGCTCTTTCCGGCATTTGCAGAATCTAGCTGTGAGTGGAGATGAACAGTAGATGGCACACTGTGGTACCCGATTAAAACATGGCTCCTTCTAGACACAACAACTGAGTTACGGTCACAATAAGCTGATAGTCCGTCAGTGAAGTGTTCCTAAAAAGTAACTAATGATGACTTCATTATTACTTCTGCAGTAACAGCTAAGGACCCATGTCGGGGATGAGGGTTTTACCGTCTCAGACAATGGACTGAAAGCACGGATGCGCTGCTGAAGAGAGCTCGTACGTTCCACTGCAGTCCTGGTGCTGACTTCTTTATTGCAAAGTAACCCCCATGCTCAGTGGCTCTGTCTTATGTTCCCAGGTTTGAGGTCTTATTCAAAGTCCAGCTAGAAGTTTGCATTTTGTCCCTCTCTCGGATGCTTGCCTTTATAGATAGTAATTTATCCCTGGTCTGTGCATTCTGCATTTGGCTCCTAATGATCCGGAGGCTTGTTTGTAAGAAATGGACCCAGATGAGCACCCTGCTCCTCTCTGATCCCCTTTCCCCCTTCTCTTCCCTCCCACACACATTCAGTTCCTCAGCTCTGAGCATTCAGTAGCTTCCCAGCTAGGAACTACGTTTGCCACCTTCCTCATTTCTGTGTGCATTTGGGGTTGTCTGCCAAATCCAAGTTAAGGCTGACAGGCTATTTTTCGTGGACTGCTGCTTCCCAAACTTGGCGACTGGCTTTTCCCTTCCCACTGGTGGGAATCACTGCCCTGCTATGAAGGGACTTCTGGAGGAAGCACAGGCAGTATCTGCCTGGGGACAAGGGCAAAGACCCAAGTTCTGCCCTAAGCCAAATGCATCCTTATCGGTCTGGGAGCTCAGTGACAGTTTCTCACTATTTTGCTTGGACGAGGACAAAATGTTGCAAAAGAAAAGTGACTGAGGAGGTTGGGAGAGAAGTGGTTCATGCAAGGGTCTGCATATCCCGCATGGGATGTCATCTTCCCATCCTTTGTCTCCACATACACCCCATCTGCCATCCAGAGAAACCCGGAACACAGCAGATTCCCTGTCTACTCTCCAATATGCTAAATACTTCCTTCCCCACCCCAACTATGAGATATTAGTCTATATTTTGGCCTGAAGCATCTAAGAAGAGTTAATCTCTCCTGCCTCTCCCCCTCAGCCATGTTGATTACTTCCAATTACCATACAGATTGAATAAGCCGGGCCTGTGATTTCACAAGAGCCTCTGTCAGGCTCTTTCAAGAGGCCAGAGACCCTCTGCCAGTTTGTTGGTTCCTCTGGAGGCTTTGCTTTCCTTAGAGACAAGCCCCTGCCCCTGCCCCTGCCTGATGAGACTCCTGCATCTAATGACTCCAATTTGGAAACCAGCTTGGGAGCAGTGATGATCTAAATAGGCTGATTTCTGACTAGTCCCAGAAGCCGGATCAGAAAAAGCATGTCAGCCGTGTGCTCCCCAGTTTCTGCCTTGTTCCCATCCCTTCCAAGGCTGCGCTCTGCTTCCTTTCTCACTACTCCCATTCATGACTGGGATGGTACATCTTTCCCCACAGCCCCAGAGTCCCTGGCCACACTTCCATAGCCCTGGTGGGAAAGCATGGCAGTAGGCTCTGCTTCCCTGTCTATCCACTCACCCCAGCAGACTTCAAAGCTACTGCAACAGCAGCCTCTAGCTACCTCTTTCTGCCCAACAGTCAGGCAACAAGCTCATTTTATCAGTGATTCACAGAGCAATGCATGGTTAATCCTAGAGAGCTGTAGGCTGGGGAGGGGCTGCTTTCCCTTCCTGGTAGTCCTGTGACTGGGCAGTGGTTCTAGTTAATGATTCCTGGGCTAGGTTTGGGTGTGTAAAAACACTGTGCCCTAATCACCTGTTAGGGATTATCCTGGGGCTTGACTTGAGCTAAAAACCCTGATGGCAGTGATGGCCAGCTTAAACTGCTCCTCTGTGGCTGCAGAGCCATCTCCGACCTTATCCTGCCTTCAGAAGGAAAGTTGCCATCTCTGTTCATTCAGCTCTGTCAGCTCGGACAGCCAGGAGATGCACTCTCACCCCCTAAAGGCTGGGGTCAGGACCAGCTCCCTCACCCCATAGTCCTCATTTCCCCTCTTGGCTTGGAAGACAGGTAATGTAAAAGAGACTTTCCAATGGCATTTACTTCAGGGAACAGAGATGAATCGCAAGCCTTTGTATCTGATAGACTTCGGAGCAGCTCCTCCCAAGCAGCAGCAGTTTTGGGCACTCTCCTGTGTATCCCGGTAACCAGGCCCATGGCGCTAAATGTCACCCAGGCATTTGCTATTCATCACCGCAGTGTGAGCTTTGGGCAGAATAAATACAAAAAATACATGAGGCCAGCTGGGGAACAGAGAACGGGAGGACGATGTGCCAGAGACCAGCATCTTTTGGCAGCAGGCAGGGGCCGGAGAATGTGTTTGCACGTGTGGAAGAAAGGAACTGGGGGTAGGGATCCAGAAGCCATCGCTGCCTAGGGAAGGGTCCCAGGGATTTAAGAACACGAGATAGCCCTCCATCCTTGAAGGGGGAGAGGTATAGAGACAGCCCCTTCCTGCTGTCAGCTGAAATTTGAGTATTCCTCCATCACGCCAGCGGTAGGCTAGCGACCTCACCTCCTAGTTCCTTCTGGACAAGCTTGCCCAGCTGAGCATCGTTCACTTTCCAGCCAGGAGACAGGTGGGAGATGAAGCCCAGCCACCACAAAGTTTTCCAACGAGCTTCTCCTCTCTGCTGTTCTCAGGCCTGCTAGTTGCCCGTCAGTTCCTCTCAAGAGCGGCCCCCGATTTCCATTTAAATTAAGGTTTTAATACTGCTTCCCAATGAGCCACCTGGCTGTGCCGAGCCTCAGAAAATGGGTTTAACCTTTTGAATAGTGCCTGAAGGGAGCCAGGGAGAACTCTTCACTTTCAAGGGGCTCTCTTCACATAAACTTTCAGGGGACTAAACAAGATAATCGGAGTGATGCCAGAAAGTGTGGCACAACTGCTGTAAGCGGTGGCACAGTCAAGCTCGGAGCATTAGGAATCGCAGAACAAGGTCTGAAATCGGCATCCAATGCCCTTTGGAGAGAGAAGTCTTTGCTTTTAATTCCTTCTTAATTGTGGCTGAGTTGGGTCTGTGCCCCTCCCTGCCACATGTACACACTTTCTGGGGGTGCTACTCAAGGTTATTTCATTGTCTGGCCCCTGAATAAGAAAGTTTTAAACTAGTCTAAGACCATCAGGTTCTCTCTTACTCTCATAACAGAATCACTGCACTTCACTTCCGTACCATATTTTCTCTAGGAATGAGTTGAGCTTTAAGGGTCCCAGAAGTTTGGGGCTTTCTCCAAAGACATCATTCCAATCTAAGAGAGAGCACATCCAGCAATTCCCATGTTAGCTAGCTCCAAGTTTCTTTTGCTTCATTTCATCCCATTGTTCTTAGTTTTCTCTCTGAACACTTTCCCTCTGCACCCAACAGTTATAGCCCTAGATCCTTATACTGCAGAGAGACTGATGCTTTTCAAAGATTTAATCTTCACAGCCTTCCTGGAGGGTAACTCAGTCTTGCTACCCTCAATTTGTGATTGGGAACACAGCACAGAGAGGTGAAGGGACTTACAGAGGGTCTTGCTGCAAGTCGGTGTCAGGGATAGGAACAGAACCGGACTTTGGAGTCTCGACTCCCTGATCCTTTTGCTTTAACAAGTAGCCCCCGCATATCCAAGAGCAAATAACAGACCGCAGGACACTTCATTTTCTTCCTGTAATCCAACCTCACAGCCTATTGTTAAACCGCACAGCATGCAACACAGCGGTTAGGACAGACGGAAAGAACTCTGTGCTTGCTGTGAGGCGCATTTCTGTCTCAGGGTCCCATCGCAGTTTACAAATGGGACTCGCATGTCTCACCACTGAGCAGTGCATCCTAGCACATCACAAGTGCTTAGGGTGGAAATTGTGGGGAATCTGTGTCCCAGTGAAACTGCAGGGGAAAACTGCAGAAGGCAGAAGGCAACATACAACTTGGCTGAAATCATCCAAGAGCATCAGACTGAAACCACAAATGAGAAGGACTTGGCTTACCATTTTATCTTCAAGAACTGTCCTCCCAAGACCCAAAAGGCTGAGCTGGGCAGCGAACAAGGACAGTGCCAAATGGGAATAGGTTTGGCTCAGACACTTTGCTTCCTAAGAGCCAGGAGCCCAACACCATTCAGGTGAAGCAACACAGAGGAAAGGCATAGTTGCTGGGAATTGTGGCTCGTGGGAGCCAATGTACCGGACCCTGGAAGAAGACTTGAATGCTTTCCTTGCAACACCTCCTTGCACTGTTGTGAGGTTCCCCACATATACTGAGGGTGGCCTCAGCAGAGGATGAGAAGTGTTGCCTCAATCCTGCATCCTGGTATCACATTCTTCTGTTCTTCTGCGTGTGTACCCCACCCATTCCCATCATTATTTGCAGCAAAACCCAAAGAAAACTACCCTGCATAGAGAGGAATGAGGTGTATTTTTGCCAGACTAAGAAAAACCTTAGCACAACACAGAAATACGTGTGGTTTTGAAGTTGCTGTCCATATCCCAGCGGGGGCATCGGAAGTTTCTCTTGCACAAAGAGGCCAGTGTCCCGGTGACCACGAGTCCAGCTTATAGTCATTCTCTTGACTATTCTACTGCAAAAACAAGGAAGGGATCAATCACTGGTGCACGTTGCCAGGCCACAAAACAAGCATTGCGATACAAGCTGGAGGAATGAACAGACACCAGAGGAAAGAACCAGCCTCCGGGAATGGGAGAAGGAACCTTTGCCACTGCCACCTCATCCCAGCATGCACACAAGGGCTCGAGTAAAACACACACGGGCTAGTTGACAGGGGTATAGGTTGTGGCTGTGTTGGTATTTATACCGGAAAGCTTGCTAAGAAGAATGTTTCCAACTATTTGAGTTGGTCTAATAATAGACCTCAGATTTACCCAAAGAACCTCAAAAGGCTATTTGAAACACCCTCTGTTTCAATGCAGACAAACATTCTTTTTATCCCCCAGCTCTGCTCATGCACTCCTGTCTGGTCAGCTCCAGGTCAAAAGGGCCGAGTCCTCTTTTGTCTGGCATGTTGCAGGTTTACCCAACCTTTGTCAGAGGTAATGATGCTATCTGCTAAGCACCCTTTGCAAAACATTTCATGCATGCTCATAACTGTGCCTCACAACACTGCTGGGAGGTAGGTATTATTAGACTCATTACAGACAGAGAAACCAAGAGGGAGAGGTGAAATGATCTGCCTAGGTCAGTGGTAGAACCGCAATTCTGGCCCCTGTCCCACCCGCCTCTGACAGGCAGAGGCCACTCCCCTGGAGTCCAGACTCCCATGGGCCATTAGGAAGTCCACTCTGAGAGGACCTTACTTACTCGGTATCACACATAACCCACTGAATACCCTAAGGACTCAACCAGGCTAGGATTCACTTTGGTCTGGGTCTTGTGCAAGGATGTAAGCGAATCACGTATACTTTCTTCAAGAGGATGCAGCCTTGAAAGCCTAACTCCTGCTCTAACCACTCTCCCACCGCCACCCCGCCGCTATTCTGAGCTGGTTATGAGCAACAGTCAGTCCTATCCATGCTTCCACAGAGAAATTGTAAGAACGACCCCAGGAGCACAGTGTGCTGTGCTCCCCCTCTCCCACGCCCACTGTGCTGTGACTTGACTGTAATTGGGCTGTATTTAATAATTACTGTTACACTATAATTATCACCTTCTGATTTTTCTCTTTGTTAAGGTTTATTGGGGAGAAAGACGACAAGGCGTTTTGGCAGTGCCAAGGAGCTGCAGATGCCTTGGATTCAGGGTGGCATGGACACGCAATGTGTTCTGCTGCAAATGTTTAAATAAGTACCTATCAAAACACACTGCTAAAATAACCCTTGTCACCTTTTTGCAGTGAAAGGCAAGGGGCTGCTCCCGTGGCATTTCCACCCTGACACTGGAGCTACTAGACTCAAGTTTGAATATGCAAAGATGACGCTAATTAAAAAGTACAGGTGAGTGAAAAGAGAGAGAGAATGTTTAACAGCAATTGTTATTGAAATGAGACAGCAACTGAGACAGTGAGGAGAGTACTCAGGGAGGAAGGAGGTTTGGAGAGACCATGGGTGAAAGAGGAGGAGAAAAAACTAAGAAAGGGTGCAAGACACAGTAGTATGACTGAGAATAGGGTTAAGCAATAAAGCCACCACGTTCAGCCTCTTCCCCCTAAAATTGGGGCCTAGTTCTCTACTGTACTCTCAGAATCTGAAAGTGAATCAAAGGCCACCTGAAGCTTTCATTGAGTGCCAGCCTGGGCTGGGTTTGAACCCCCAATGGTAGAGGGGAAAGCACCATACCCCACTTCAGATCCCCTGAGCTTTCTGATCCTCTGGCAAGTCACTTTGGTTATGCCAGAAAGACAGGAAAGGTGACCCCATGCAACACCCACGCCCTATAACCGCTCTGTGCATTGTCACATTCCCCAGAAACTGATTGCAGCAGGGTATCGTCTGCTGTGTCTGCCCTCCCCATGCTCCCTGCCCCCAGTCCCCTTTCAACCCAGGACACTGGGGGTGAATGGCGTGATCTTCTCCAGCGATACAGCCACCTCACACTCCACGTGGACCACAGCAGGTAAGACAGGACTGGGATGGTTGTTGTGGGAGGTCTGGGAAACTTGAGACACCTTGTCGAAAGTCACCTCAGGGTCTTCTGCCTGCATGGCAGCGTGGGGGAGGATGTGCGGGTAGCTGAGGGTCACCACCTCTTTCTGGTAGGTGGTGTCATGGTGGTAGGAGACCAGCTCATTGCTGAAGTTCACCGTCTCCACTGCGTTGCTGGGGCAGAGGCGACTGCAGCCTAGGATGGTGGCAAAGGCTCTCCTGAAGTCAGCGTTGAAAGCGTAGATGATGGGGTTGAGGGAGGAGTTGGCCCAGCCAAACCAGATGAAGATGTTGAAGACTGTCTCACTAACACAAGGCAGCTCACCAGGTTCATGCCGGCTGAAGTCGCAGAAAGGCACCATGCAGTTGAGCACAAAGAAGGGCAGCCAGCAGAAGACAAAGACACCCATAATGATGGAGAGGGTCTTGAGGACTTTGGTCT